CCAGCCGATGAACAAGTCAGTGCTTTTATCCTCCCAGACGAGTCTGGTACCAATTCACCGGCTCTGGAAAGATGGAAGATTTGATTAGCCTAGGCGGAACCGATCCGGGATTCGAACCCCTGACCGTGCGTGTGATATAGTGCGCCCCTTGCCACTACACCACCTCCACCCAAGTTAATAAATATACACTAAATTAAATTGGATTAAGTGGGTTTCCGCTAGGGTTCGTAGTTTACGAATGATAAAAATCGATAGCAGCTGATAGGAAGAGACGAAGGGCTTCAGGAGGTAGGAGCCACTGGATTCGCTGTTTATTTAGGGTTATCCATGCAGCTTGGAAATTAGTTGGGCGACGTGGAGAGCGACGAACTGTAGTTGATCAAAAGAGATGTAACTCCTCATGGGATTTACATCGGAAGATTATCTATGAAGTTGAAAAAGGCAATATAGGGACCTTTTCTTTCCAGCGAAAAACTCCTCTTCCATCTTCGAAAACAGGCAAAACGCCATCTGCCACTCCTGTTCCGAAAACAAGGAAGTCCATTTCATCAAACGAGCAACCTAAGAAAAAAAGGTATAAAAGTTTTGTACTGTATAGAGGACATTGACATATCATCTAACAATTTAGGCCATCGACAATGGCTAAACTCAGAGGATTTTTCGATGTATGTTCGATTTCTTTTTATACTCACTGCGTAACACAAGGGCCAAGGGGAGAACGTCCGTTGCGCGCGTCCGTCGGAAGTAGGTCACCCCGCCCACTTCGCGCGCGACGCACCACACTGAGGTCCCCAGATGACATTACAGCACCTCCAAGGTCAGTTAAGCGAAAGATTGGCATTTGTCTGTGTTATCTACTCTTTGAACTGACTGCCGTGGACAAAGCGCAAATCGTATGCCCCACTGACAACTGTCTGTCAAGTATCGCGCGCTGATTCGCCGCGTGCGACGGCTGAGGCGTGACCTAGTTTCGGCGAACGCGCGCAACGAAGCGCACCCGGGCCAAGGCGCGACTTTGCCGCGCGCGGCGGCGCGGAGTGACGCGACTGCACGACAACTATCATAAGCGACCTACCTTGCTGAAATTTCGTGCACTGTCGCGCCCTGACTTAAAGTTAACTTTTTTCTAAGTCACAAAGTTACCGAATAATTACCCTGTTCGAAACTTGATGAACTTGGGCATGAGCATTACATGGGGTCGCTACTTTGGGAAGCGCGAAATATTAGCCGATAAACTTTGATAACAATTTGTAACTACTGAATCGTATCATTAAGTGAGCCCCCTACGTATCTCAAGAGAGTTGTTTAGCACAGATCTCAACTAAGTTCAAAAGGAGCCGATACCGACTTGGAAAGGTCGCCAAAGGTTACTTTACTGGTTCTGCTGCATTGTGTCAAGCTGAAGGAGTGGCAAGTTTTTCAGGTAAGATCGTCTCTATGGTGGAGCAAGAAAAAACTAAAGATGGATGTAGAGGACACACAAAAGGAAGTCGAAGATGTAATGGTAAAGAATAATTATGATTTCTTGCAAAAATATAAAATATCGAGTAATATAAAGAGTAAGTAACGCACGAACAACAAAATTACGGACGCCCGAAACTGCATTCCACAGCCGCCTTGGGTCACTACTAGTTGTTTGAAATTCCAAATACATGGGTGACCCTCTGTGAATGGTGAGTAGCTTCTCACGATGCCGTCAAGATTCTTAACTCACGTCAAATAACTCGTCGGTCTTTGGGCGTGGCATACAGCTGATACAATCTTCGAGCCCCTTTCAGCGCTCTATCTAGGCCGTTTTTCAAGTGACAGTGCCACATATGAAAGGGGGCACAGATTTATCCAAGGAAATATATCAGAAATAATTTTTACCGTGAATTGCGCCTTCAGACTGAAACGGAAATGAGAAGGCTCGTCGTAGTTGGGGCGTCATGGAGTAGTCTTAGCGATTTGCTCTTAGGGTTGTAAAATAGAGCAGTTTTGTCCAAACAAACTCGAGCGCTATGGAAAACTAAAGGGAAGTCAGGCAAAAGATTTGCTTCTTCAAGCATTTTTTAAAAGTTACTCGTTCCCATCAGAAATCTCAGACCACCAACTTAATTGTGCAATTAATATCATGGGAAGGGTCGTATTCTCAGAAATAGGCTTGGCAAAATTCTGCGTGGTGAAGGCTCTCATCTTCACTCGTGAGTCGAACCCTTGCTATGAATTCGTGGAGAGCGAAAGCAGACCCAAGCACTGATGGATAGCTGGGTAGCTTGTCATTAGTTGTTGCGGATGGGGATTGATCCAGTGAAAAGCGAAGGTTCAGCCAATCACTATTTTCTCTCTTCTTATACTTCAGCTGTGCCAAAATAATAGTCTAGAAGTATTGCATCTCCAAAGTTTTCAGACGCACAAGCAGCGGTGCTATCAACTGGAGAACACCCAAACGGACTGATAGTCCCACAAATGGAAAAGTTCAAGGAAATAAATATGATTTTTTTTGTCTTATTGCGCTGCTCCTTTTTGATACGTCTAAGCAAAAATAAAAATCCTAAAAACCTATTTTATAATAACACATTCGTTGATCAGTAAAGTTCACTACTTTGATGGACGCTTTTTGAAGGGATACGTCAAAACCTCCAAAAAAGTTACTACTCTGAAATACACAATACTTTTTAAGATCGTAGTTTACATCTAGCTTTATTTAAGTCGGTTAAGAGAGTTAATTCAAATTGCCATACTCACCAAGGGTACACTCAATCGTTCCTCTCCATTGATGGCACAAAAATCCGATCATTTCAATCGATACCAAAATCGATCGGCCGCATAACGTTTACTGATATCAGTTGTTCGATTTTACCAGTCCACTTCCATTTTATTCCCTAACGCTAAGGTGGTGATGAACACTTGGTAAGGCACGACAAAGTTGTATCGATCAGTATCGATTGACCGATATCGATCTTCATCACTGAGCCCAACTTCAAACCACACTATCACAACCCCTTTTAAATTTGAACAACAGTAGTGAAGGAAGCTAAAGAGTACCCTGTCGTTCAAGCTACAAATCGATATTGCGCGGTACAGACTGATCGATATCAATCGAAATTACGAAGGCGGAATCCATCCCCTAAAATTCCTATTCATATGAAAGTTCTACGTTCAAACCGGGGTACAGGATGGACTTCGTAACAGACACATAGACATACATGGGCATAATTAGCCAGGTATGTATAGCAGTTACAGTATGCCTATCACATAATATCACTGTTTACATAAATTTTAAATCTTTATCACACATTATCATTACGGATAGAGTCAGTATTCATGTATAGTATGTATCACAACCGGGACCCACAAAATTACTTGGTCACATTGATAAAATCCAGACAGGAAAGGAAGGGGGTGAGGGTGGTGTGGGAGGAATGTGTGCGTGTGGTCGAGCACAGTTTCATGGTACCGATGATATGCTTTTAAGTATGCCAAAGTCATGTAAAACTTGATGACTAGAGACAACTGTACAGAATGGTAACCAGTATAGTCTAATACTTAATATGATATGCATATATAGTTATATGATGGCTATGAATGATGATATGTGAGTAGGAAAATTTCTCTCTTGAAATGGCTATTCTTCTTCTTCTTCTTCCTCATCCAAGACAACATCTTTCATAGACATACTTTCATCGATTATTTCTTGATCATATTCTTGTGGCTGGCATTTTGCCAAATCAACTCGTGGGAAATCCAACTGAAATACCTGGTTAAAAATATGAAATGGGCAAGATAGCACTGAGAATCGGAGGCAAAAAGCCAAACCTGTTGCTCAGGATAGATCCATGGCTTGACATTTGGCTGATTTCGTGCCTTCCATTCTGGGTACGCTAAGCAGGCTTTGTACAGCCTTTTGATGATTTTAGGGGCCACTACTCGGGTGAGGCGATTCACCAACCATGTGGGGATATTACCTGAAAAATTCATAAGAATCTCCTATAAGTGGAATTGAAAAAATGAGTGCTCCCAGATTGGTTATGCAAAGTACGTTCCAAACAGGAACGGGATGGGTTCCGTGACGGGTAGGTACATCTATGCTATTGAGGAGTTGTGTCCACTACTCCTCGAAAACTACCCCGTGTTTGCTTCTCCTATGGGCAGTAAGGGGCCCAATTCTTCCGATTACATTAGTTGAATGGCGAAGTTGGTGTCCCCAATGTGAGATGGCGCCGCTACCAAACCCATGGTTCGAGGATCATATTCCAAATCGACACTCGTTCAGCTAAGCTGAGGCCTCCTCCTCCTAGAATCATTAATTATGGGAACAGACAGTCTCAGAGCATGAAGTTGTTGACTTGACTGACTGACTGACTAAAAGCACCTGCGCGTAGGGTAACAGCGTAATAATCGCATGGACCAAGAACGCAATCAAACGACACTAAGATTCTAAATGGAAGTCGTATGCAGGGCGTAGAACGTAAGACGATTGTATCCATTAGCAATAAATTAACATTATATTCCTCAGCACGAATAAACCCAAACTTCTCAGACTATGAAGGTACTCCCGAGGTAAACTTTTTGTCAGATGGCTTCGTTTTGAGGAAACTGAGGGCATAGGTGTTCAAAAAAACTGAAAAATACCTTTTGGATCAGCATGACTGATGTAAACAAGATCGCATCCTCCATCCTTACGATGACTTGGTCGTATAAGGTATGCAGATAGTAAAGCGGTTCCTCGTACGTATCCTTTCATTGGCGGATAATCCTTAAAGAGCGCAAATCAGTGCGGTTCACAGTGCGAATCAAAAGGCTATCGGTAGCCACCGTAAAATCAAGCAGGTAATCTAATGCGGTTCATGCAAGTGCATGACTCACTCCAAGAAAAAAGTAAATGAGCTTAAATTCTCTGGTCAGTTTGCCTTGAAATCCCTATTTGGGAAGTTCTCAGAGACGCTCACCTGATGACAAACTGAATGCCCACAAATCATTTTCTCATCTCCTGTATCGAGCCATGAACGTTGTAATACAAAGTCACGTGCTCGGACTGGTGGTATGCCCGTTACTGAAATGCGCTCATTTAAAGGAATCCACTGGAAACTAGAAAGGTTTTGAAGTAGCCATGAAATCATTGAAAGCACGGTTTGAGATTAAAAGGTTCGACAGGAGTTTTGCTAGGAATCTATGGCCACTGAAAAATCATGAGGAGCACTGCCTGGTCCGGACCTGGCGGTCTAGGCAGAGCGCAGTATGGGCTCAGAAATCGATATCGACGCACACTGCTGCTCAGCAATCTCAAGAAAGGACGAGTTTAACGGTCATGTAGGGGCGGATATCATACGAAACGGAGCGCGTTTGTTGTACATGCAGCCGCTAACTCTTTGTCGTCGAAGTCTCGTTCAACCTAAGAAAGGATTAGTTTAAAAAAGGCCTTGAATTATGGGGCTATAGCGGAATTTCTCGTCATTCTTCCCCACGGATTAACTACTGTTTTAACACTTTCGCCTTGCACCCGGAAAATGAGCACGTGGGATTATCGCGAACCGTACCTTTCAGAAAGGGACCAGTCTTTCCACTGTTGATTGTTAATGTATTAAAATAGACTTACATGCATAATATCCTATATCATTGTTCGGATTTATTCGTCCTATGTAGCACTGGGCTGCCATATGCCGATCCCAATGGGGACGATAGGCCGAATCATGCAATACATCATAGGCAACACTTGTCGGCACGTCGGGAAACGTCGCAACTGCCTACAATGACTTCCTCGGTTTGGAAGAAAAAGCAGGACAGGTAGAAAAAACTATATCGACCAATACTTCCCAAATAGGAAAGGAAAAGGATTTGAAACGGCTGGGACATTATAATGCACATCAGAATAGCTTGCGTAGCTCATTGCTATTCTGAATGCTCTCCTATTCCTTCCTTCCCGGACAGAGAAAAACCAATAGTCAGTACAGTTTCGATCTGGGTCCCACTGGAGCTTCACCCACTACATAAAGTGGTAAACTGTCATAAAAAAAGACGTATTACTTGTACAACACTGAAATAGAGCCATAATGGGATTACGGTATGGATACGAATCGAGACTGAAGACTCTTTCCTGTCCTCCAAACCAAGCAATATGGCTCTGAGAAAAAGAAACTTGGAAAGAAGATATTCAAGGGATACATAGGCTGTGATGGAAAGGGAGTGCCAAAAAGTGGGTCAGGGAGACCCTCTGCCAGAACCACCACATGTTACTTTATTCTGACATGGCCTGCTGGGTATTTCTAATCAGGACATACCTTAATCATGTGATAGTTACTGGATGGAACTGTTTGAGTAAACACAGCGACGCATTTCTTTTTGTAAACCTGAAATCAAAGATCTTGATAAATGGCTGATGCCTGTTAGGATCCTGCTATCACTTACCTCAGTCCATCCTTGGTTACTTTCGCACATATTTTTGACCCTGGCATAATCCGAATCCTCCCACACCCGAGCTACGTTGACCCGCATTAGAAGTGAAGTAATATCGAATGATTAGAAATGATGATGAACTGTCAATGTTTCACGAAGTAAACCTGAAAAATAAAAGGATGAGATGACTGAGTAAAAGCACGAACACGAATCGAAATGGCGGATATCTGAAGAGGTAAGTAAAACAAAGAAGAAGCACACATCAAGGTAAGGCAGCTTCAATCTAATATTGCTCTCAGAGCACTGTGCTCAGTACCCTTTCAATGGCAAGACCCCGTAAGCCCTCTGACGCCTAATGCTCACACTATCCAGAAAGGATATAAACTAGACTTTTCTTCAAAAGGTCCTCTATTCCGTCAGACAACACCTTTGTTTAGGCCCAAAAATTTCACAGCGCAAGGGTAAGAGAGTTCTCTCTGTGAAAGAACTTCGAACACCTCCTAGTAAATCAACTTCCGTCGATTTCTCAAGGGCATTTTCTCAGAATTTATGAGGAAGAGGTTACTCCTAATGATGAGGCATTTCCAATGCCCAATGACGACCCTACTGCCAACTGAGCACTTTTTTTGGTAGAAAGTCTATGAAAGCAGGTTACGAATTAGCAGAATATCACTTAAGAGGCACTAACATGCCTATGTGTGGCGAATCTGGAGCTATTTTCGCTCGAAAATAGCCAAGGTACTGACAGTAACAGAGTCCCTTGACCAGAGTGTCTGTGAAGATTTCCAATTGACATGCCGCACGGCGAGACATCTATCTAACGAGAATATAATATACGACGGATGCGGGGCAAATACTAGTCGCAGAATAAAAGGAGTACCATAACATTACAAAAAGGAAGCCGTCAGCAAAGCTCAAAAGGCCCGGTGTAGTCAAAAAGTTCATGGCACAGCACTGTGTAAACAAAAACAAATAAACAAAAGAAGGCGGGAAGTGGGATCATTTTGGACTCACTTTACTTGACTAGTATGTCCGAATTAGTTTAACTGATAGTTACACCTGCAGGAACACTTGAGACGGCAACGAAAATACCGAATGGTTCTCACTAGACTTACGCGATCATTATCATTATCAATTATCAATGATTGAACAGGAACGCGATAACTCATGAAAATATCAAGAAAGTGTTTCTTTTGACCTGGAGTCATTGTCAGCTAATGCTATCGATACACTCATAAGGTTGGCGATTATGGACAAAATTTTAGTCTCGGACGGGACTCGAACCCGTACTCGTCCGTTCCGAGGACCGTCGGAACTGCGGGTACTGCGGCGATGTAACAGCAGTTAACAAAAGATCGAGTCAAAATAAGCTATTGGTACTAATTAAAGCTGGACATGTGCGAAGGTGGTGAAGTGACAGTGGCGCGCTTTCACACACGTACGGTCCAGGGATCGAGACCCTGAATCGACACTCGCCTGGGCCAATCAAGCCTTCCATAATTCTGGGGTCGATAAGTTGGTATCAGACTCGTCTGCAAGGATAAAAGCAATGACTAAGTCATTGTCAAGGCCACAGACATATTCAAAACGCCACTACGGTTCCGAAGGGAAGTCGAATGAGGTGCACACTTCTCAGACCGAATTGGTCAATGTTAAAGAAATTATCCGTTATCCCTGAAGCTAGTGAGGATCGTAGGTGTTTTACCTGCTTATCTGTCTCAAAATTCACAATGGCGCTCTCCTTAAACATAAAGCTGTCCAACCTCTGATGAACGGAAAGGTATTCAGCAAATTCGATACAGTGATCAATCGCTAATAGGTAATATCGATTAGGAGTTTGATTAGCCGGGTACTGGGAACTCAATTATGTTCAATCATGCCGTTCAAATTTTCGAAAGTCGAGCTGGGGTGGTGAAGACTCCCTCCCAGGGTTTCCCAGGGAGCTAGGAGATGGGCTATGGAGGGTGAGGAGGTTGTAGAAGAGGACCAAAGAGCACTCAGGATGGATAAATGGCTGAGTATGAATGTTAAAGTTGAACCTTCACAAAGACAAAAACTTGGTAATTACTGTATTAGCGGTGCAGATTTGATTCAAGCAACCATGGCAAATCAGAAATTACATAGCTCTCAGTAGTACCGGGTACTGTTCCATTGTTAGACAGAGGTTTTTCCCGTCTCTCCTCCTATCTACCCCCTATCTGATTTAAAGGGCACTTCTGAAAAGGTATAATTGCTCTCAAGTAGGCAGCAGATATCTAAAATACAACAACTCAGGAAGGTAGCTGATTTCCACATGGTCAGAAAATAGAATAGGAACTGAAAGATAGCAAGGTCCAAACATGGGAGAAATCAACGAAAATCATGTTTTCAAACCTGAAAAAGGCAAAAAATTACATAAACGACTATGGGTGCGATGAGTAAAACTCCCATCATAAGACCTGATCTACCCCACCTCTCCCACGAGATTTTAGCTCTCGAAAATAGCCTTCAAGTAAGGTGAAGTAGGTAAAGAAAAAAGTGTGTGGGAACGGATAGTTTTGAATCTGTCCCACGTATAATAACTGCATCATATTAGAGGATAAGGATAAATCTTTGACGTCGATCAGACGCGTCTGCGGGATGCGTACTGTAGTCGACTTCCATTCAGAACCTTAGTAGCGTTTGAATGCGTTCGTGACCTGGACAATAACTTGAGCTGGTTAGCAAATGCACTTTTCTCTCCCACACCAGTCTGGTTCAGATTACTCGACCCAAAAGAGATGGTAGGCTCGGTTGACTTCAGCGAGCACCGACACACCCGAGATTCGATCTCCGAACCATGTGTTTGTGCGATAGTCCGCCACATGCCACCACACCACCCCTACCCCATAGAGCATTACAAGTAACTATAAATCAGTACAACGATAACTGCCATCCTGTCAAGAGGGACAACAGTAAATCTATCAAATAGATTTGTCAGCGGAGAAAAATCCCGGAAAATCATGGGATAAATGGGGACGAAAGTGCAAAAGTCTTTTTTCCCCATCAAAGGCCTCAGTCTTGTCAACACAAGGGGAGTTCCCATTGGGAAGTAGATTTTTCTGAGAATCGGAAGCACTTAACGCTGTACGTTATATGCAGATAAGGCAAGAAAACATTCGACGAATGCAAATTCACGTCAAAACAACGGGCACAGCCATCAATCACCTCGCTTGATGTGCATTACTGCAGTAGCCTACGGCAAAGCTTCGATTTTTTCTAACCTTAGCTCGGACTGGACTCTTCAAATATCCCATTCCTACGAGGGTTTAGGTACCTGCTAGCGAGTTGTGGAGTTTGGACTATCTGGGAAGTCGAGTCGGCTCGAATTGGAATAGACGTCAAGACGAAAGGTCGAAAGTGAAGAGAATGAAGTGCTAATTAATTGAATGGAAAGGCAGTAACGTAATTATGTACGCTGCTCTTTGATAGGCTAGAAGTGCTAATTAATTGAATGGAAAGGCAGTAACGTAATTATGTACGCTGCTCTTTGATAGGCTAAACTCATTTGAAAAGGCTGAAAGTCAATTTGAGTAAGCTAGACGACAAATACTACATGCCACTGGCAAATAAGTCTTATCTCAGTGATACTCGGTGATACAAAACATAAATAGGCGTTGATTGGGCTTGCTGCAGATGACAGCAGGTAAGGAGAGGTGGTTAGACGTGAGCCTGCAGAAGTGACAGTGATCTATGATCCAGTGGGCTAAACTTGGAGTTATACTATTTACAAAAACAGTCATTCCATTTCTTTCACCCTAATCTAGTTTATTTCAAGAAACCCCTCGCTCATGAGGGCCGGAAACGTTGCTTTCATTTCATGCCTTCGAGAGAGTATTTTTGGCCGATACGATTGCTAAGAACAGGGGCATGGCCCATCCTTTTTCCCCGAATTTCGGTGAAAAGCAAAGGATAGCGGGGTAAGGGTATATCATGGAAGTCATGGGAAAAGAAAAAGAAGCGAAGGAACGAAAAAAAGAAGAAATTGTGCCTGTCAGGAAAGAGGAGGGAGTCGTATCTGCGAAGGGCTAAAGTATTGTACCAAATTAATATAAAAAAAAAACTGGCTTTAACAAAACTATAGGCACCATGTTTTGCAGTGT